AACCTAACGCGAAATTATTAAGAAAATATAACAGCTATATTTACACTATAACTAGTTAAATGGGTGTATGCTGATAACCGAAAAGAATAAATTAATGATGATGACTAATATAAGAAGACATGGCTGCTATTATAACTTGATTTACCGCACCCAGACAACTATGAATTAAATGTTTCATGATGGCTATCAAAAATGGTTATACAGAGCATGTAGGCAACAGCATGCGGCCATCTATCCCACATCTTTTATCAGTCCCTCGTTCCAGTTAGGTTCGTATTAGGCAGAGGAAACCTATACATTTCACTTGTCTGATGAACTTTTGAAAGTCAAATAATTGAGGTTCGAAATGTCAGGTGGAATTTGTTACTGTCCCCCATAATGAATAGCTAGGCTAATAATATAAAGCACATGATGTCTGTTGCTTATGCACGATCCAAGTTCGGAACACCTTTATAAAGCAAATACAACATGAGCTGCTTGAATGATGAAATTTTTGTATAACTGCAGTTGCTTATAGGTAAAAATGTTATATATATAATCACTATGGTTTAATCTGTTCTTATTTAAAATTTAAAGCATTTATCAAATCAACAGATATCAGAGGCCATGTTTTTTTTTTCTTTTTTTGGGAGGATAGGGTAGTTCTATTTATAGGGATGGGATATTGCAGTAATAACCTCCGACTACCTTAGTGCATACTACACTATGGTATATCAAACAGCAGGCTTTATCTGTTCTAAATAATCCATCACATTCACGGTGGAAGACTGCTGACGCATAGGTTAGCTACCTCTGTGTATGTCTGGCCAACAGAACTGGGTCACAAGGGAATATAATATCATCTGATGGTAATGTCCCCGTCTTCTAATGCTCTCTCTCTCTCTCTCTCTCTCTCTCTCTCTCTCTCAAATCACAGGAAATCCCAACCCAGATCAGAGAATTCTTTCCAGGCTGGTTAAGAATAAACAATATGGAAGTAACAGAAATAATATTTTGGTAGTAGGATGAGAAAAATGTCAAATCACAAGGCAAGCCATGAGAATATTATCGCCACAGCCTTGAAAAAAATGTTTAATACTTTGAATCAAAAAGCAAATCATCCACGAGTAATTTTATAGCACCCATTAAAACTATACTTTCTGATCATCCACATCTTTTTCATTATCACTTTCCAGATGTGTGATACAATATTGTATATTGCCACAGCATTCATTTCTGTGAACGTGACAACAGCAAATGTCCCTTGTTCCTAGGGTATATTATCAAGACTTGTGATATTGACTTATAATTCATCCTGTAGAATATGTTGTCTGTTCCAAGAATATTCTAGACTTTGCAGCACACAAATTGTGATCGGCTATACTTAATATCACTACTATAATTCATTCATTGCAAACAGTCCGTAGCTAGATGCTTCGATAAAATCATTACATAATATGCATTTCCAATTAATACAAATGGCAAAAGAGATGGTTTTGTTACTCTATATATCAATGTTCAGCATCTCTGTAGCATGCATTGTAATGGAGCACTCAGTTAAGATCAAACCTTTTGAAAAAAACTTCGACTAGAACATATAATAAATTAGATCTAGTTTAATGTCAATCTGGCAGCCCTTAAATCCCTTTTATGATAAAATTACACAGATTAAATGTAGCACCATGACAATAACCTTTTTAGAGCTTTTTCTATTCCCTGGGAATTCTAGGAAATATTCATTGTCTACAGCTTAAGTAACATAACTGGCCTTGGTCAGTAATTTGATGAAAACAGCTCTACTTCAGCCAAATGAAATATATATGGGGTTATGTTTAAAAAAAAGTGATTTTTTTGTTGACTAAGTTAACACAGACTTTTTCCTTGTGACTCATGCTCCTGATCACCAAGAGTTTCAGGAATGACTGGAAATTGCAAATAAGGTTATAGATAATTGCCACAGGGCTCATAAATGATATTTGTCATATGCCACCACAAGCCTTAGATTCAGGAGCATGAATGCCCAAATTAAGGATTTGAGCCACAAATTAATGAGCCACAAATTAAGTACCCCAACGTGAAATTAGTAGACATGAACACTATTTCAGAATGGTAAAGAGGTTTACAACTATTGACCATGACATTACACCTGATGTACACTGCAGGCATGAGTGAAAGTTTTCAAGATTGTGCCTGATTTCAGGATTTTCAGTCTGCATTTTGATCATTTATTTTCATATGGTCTAAACGCGATGAGAAAATGCAAGCTATGTTTTCAGGATTTTCAGTTTTTACAACTTTCACCCACGCACTTGTTAATCATATGAGAAAAATCAATCATTTGTAAAAGACCATTAATGTGCAAAATCACCACTTCAGTCAGAAACACAGTCAGAGACAAATACAGTTTTAACTGAATTAACTACGCAAGAGGTCCCACAGGTCATGCCTAACATTAAATCTGAAGTATCACTAGATGAATTGTACTCTGACCAATGAGAAGTGGGAATTTTAGCTTTTAAATTTTTCTAGCTTCTGGCTACTGGGATTTGCTTTATATCTGGTTTATATTCAAGGCAAAATTTATAATCATGCTAATACATTTTCTGGTTTGATAAAATGCAAGCTGTGGCATTATAGAAAGAGGTACAGTTAGGATAATAACTACAAACATGTTACTATTGCTGTCTGAAAAGGTACGTATTGTTTGGCAAGCCACAATTGACCTTAATCGGGGTTAGTCATAAAATTGAACATCATTGTATTTTATCGGAACAAATGTAATGGCCTTTATTACATTCAAAAACAATACCCGAGTAAAGGGAATATTCCAAAATGCTTTTAGTAGACATTTTTCTCTCAGTACTAGACAACAGCATAAACCAAAGCACTATCACCAGACAAGTAAAAACATGGGAGGTAAACATTCTAGCAAAAAACAAAATTGTTTCCAGATGGTACTTTTACCACGATGTTTTATCCTTAACTTTTCCTAATTATAAGCAATATCACCTGGAAATGTTAGACACGGAAAGGAAATCTGTTTTTATGAGATGAAACATAGCTTAACATTCCACACAACCTCACAGCAAACCCTTACATAAATCTTTCACCTTAGTCTATTTTAAACTAACATTTTAAAGTAATGTCTGAAGATATTGCAAATGGAAAATGCTTGTGTTTGGGTGAATAACACTAAACAACTTGGTTAACCTCCTAAAAGACTAGCTTTGGTAATTCTACAATGAAGTTGATCAAATTCTCTCTTTATATATGTTTTATAGAGCAAAATTTTGTTGTTTATACTTTAAAAGCAGATGAAGTGATATTTTTAAAAAGTTGTGCTCATGTCAGAAAAGTATTATTTGTGAGTAACCAATACTGGCAAATCATGAAAAAAATAAGGAATTTTGAAATTCTGGAGCAATTACCATATTACCTTTCACAACCTACCACCTGGGAAATCTCCTTGAGTAACAGCTCTAATGAACCTCAACATTTAGCCTGTTCAGGTATTTTTGCATGTTTTGTTTACTCTGGGCTTTCACTTCATTCATGATTGGCAGGAGAACCAGGTAATAGAACTGTGTTTTTAGATATCCATAACTATTAGTAGTATAAGAGGCACCTGAGTTCTTGAGGGCTGACTGGGCCCATGTTGTGATTCACTTTATTCGATACTCTCCTGGATAACCATGGCAGGTACGCAGAAAACCACATGGAGATGACAATCTCTGTTGGTACCCTGAACCTCAAGGAGAAAAATGGGACAATTGGGGAAAAGAAAAGCCACAGTCAGTGCTTTAAAACCCAGGGTGTTGAGACCTCTTGATCTCAGAAATATTTATAACCTTTTCCGTGGAACTGACGATGAGCAGGACGGGAGTGAAAAGTGCTGAAACCCTTAATGAGAAATGGAAAGCATTGGCATAAAATGTTGTGTACCTTGATCTACATAAATGTGGAATTTCCCAAAAATGTAGTCATATGTGTGCTTACATATGCGTCACATTTTTATTTTTGCTTCAGAATACACACATGGTATTGTACTAAAAACCTAACCTACACAGAGTGGTTAAGGGCAATCACTTGTAGATAACAGAATAACAAAAACAATCTCAACCAGGATGCCTTAATTAAGATAATACCATCAGGTTAATAGACCACATATCATCAGTTACCAGTATATCACCAATAAGTTAATGAATGTGTATATATATATATATGTGATACTGACGTCTTAGCAAGTAAATCAGTATATTTTTGCACTTAATTCTGTGCTAAACAGAGGACTAATATTCCTCTTGGCATCATCATGTGCTTATATAAATATTCAACAACCGAGCTGGCAACATGTGGACACCATCTAACCAAGTATTTTGGCAATGAATACAGCTTTTTTAATCACAAATTGTGGGTGAACTCGTGACCTGAGAAATATTGTTAACCACTTTTAATGAAAAGCTAGACCGAAGCTCATCGCTGATTTCCATATGTACTGGAATTTAGACTTTGAAAAAAAAAAAAGACTCAAAAAATAAACAGACAAACATTCAGAAAGGCATTCAAATTCTAGGTTATATTAAATTACCCATTAAATTGAGATGCAAGATCCCATTAAGATGATCAACTTAAACACTGGCAATGAAGTTAATTTAGGGAAACGGGTTCAGTGACCCAAAGCAGATCTCATGTCAATCTGCTATGAAGAAAACTGCCAAACAAGGTTACTTTCAATAGCCTTTAGTCAATTTCTGTTAAGGTGAACCATATGTAGACAGCAACACACTTCTTTATATCCTAAGGGTATTGTTTAAGTGTGTGGTGCATTTCCTTCTACGAATTACCAAATGCCTTGGGGAATTTTTTTTCCATTCCTTAAGTGTTCACAATTTTTAGATATTCAGTAAATTGTTTTATTCATGATCCTGTGAAATTTTGACAAGAGTAGCTGTACATATTCCAAAAGGCATTATTATAGCCATAACTGATTCAAGAAGATGCTTTTTTTCTCCTATTTTCAGGTTCTAGAAGAATCATGCCTTAATCAATAAGCCACATCATTTCTGCTTTGGAGGTGAGACTGCAGCAGAAGTAGAGAAAGCAGAAATGGCATCGGCATTGCTGTTGGCTATCACCATAGCAACCATTGTTTCCTCGACAACCAAAGTGGAATCATGTCCCAAAGTGTGCAAGTGTACTGAAGAAACAGCCATGTGTGCTAGTGCAGGTCTTCAGAGAATTCCAGAAAACCTTCCCCAATCCATCCGCACTCTGAACCTATCCCACAATGCTTTGACCAATATGGATAATCTGTCTCTATACCACAGCCTTGTTGAAGTGTATCTGGACCACAATGAAATCACTGCTTTACCACATGAATTTTCTCCTACCTTGTTTCACTTGGAAATACTCAGCCTTCATTGGAATCACATACGAGAACTTTCTCCTTCCTTGGTACTGTTACCGAATTTACACCAATTACACCTCAGCCACAACAACATCGGAGTAATAGACAGAGACACGACATCAAAGATGAAGGAGCTTAGAATATTAGATCTTAGCCACAACCAAATTGAAGCTGTACCAAGTGAAATGCTTAAAAATTCACCACACCTTAAACAGTTGGACTTGGGATATAACTCCATCCGTAATATAAGTTCAAGGGCATTTGATTCCTTAGATTCGCTGACTGATCTGTCTCTACAGCATAATGAGATAAGACATCTCAGCGCCTCTGTCTTTCATTCCCTGCATGGACTTCACAAGCTTGACCTGTCCATTAACAATCTCCAATCCTTGGACCGCGAGATATTTGCTGCAAATTCACAACTGAGATCGCTCTCTCTCCAAAACAACCACATTTCACATATCAACCCTTCTGCGTTGTCGGAACTTCAGGATTTGTCAGACCTCGATCTCAGTGGAAATGACGTACCCTACTTCACAGGGGATGTATTCAGGAAAAATTCAAATCTGACCCATCTGAACCTGAGCTACAGTTCTGTGTTGGATGATATTCACTGGGATGCTTTCCAAGGATTACTCTCTGTGAAATCCATTGATCTCAGCCATAGCCCTAACCTTCAGTTCGTTCATCGTGACCTCTTTCTTCCTTGTCTGTCTCTTCAAGTCATTAATATTAGTTACAGTGGGTTCCAAAATCTGTACTATGAGGCTGTGGGGAGAGTGTCCCAACTACAGCAACTGCATGTGCAGGGGAATCCACTGGAATGTAGCTGTGCAATAAGATGGATGAAAAACAGTAGCCTGGTCCAAAATTTGCCAAATTTAACATGTCATGACATCAGCATCAACATGACTTTATCCTTGGACACTGTCCAAACTCAGGACTTAAACTGCACTGGTGCTCAAATTACCAATCATACGAAGTCGCGCGTTTTCTTCAAACTCGGTGCCCCAGGACGATTGGTGTGCGAAGCGTCTGGTTTTCCCAGTGCGGCAATTGTGTGGACGACTCCGTCAGGACGCACCTTCATACACAATGACCCCTGGGTCAGTAACGTAACCCACCACCACGTTGCCAACGAGTCATTTCATGAGGATCACCACTGGCATGACAATACTAAGGAGTACTTTCACGATATACCTCTAGAACACACACACTTACTCCAAGATGGTAGTCTGTATATAGATTACGTCACCAGGGCCCACGCTGGAAAATATACATGCACCGCACGCAATATTGCTGGCAACGATACAACTGTGATAGTACTACGATTAAATTATACTAAACTCTACGAAATCCAGAAAATGGGGTTGCTTGTAGGTGCTTCTTGTGCGATAGGTTTTCTGATTCTTTCTCTGTCCCTTAGAGGAATCCAGCTTGCAGCAAAGAGGTGCTGTGCCCGATATTGTCGAAAAACTCCACCTGAGGAACGTAAAGGTATTCGGCAGATTCTTGATAATCTTGATGCGTACCGGACAGAGAAAATGGACCGTCTACGGGAAGGTTATAACAACCAGATGGGCAAGATTCGTGATATTAAAGACCAGTGTTCCCATCAAGTGGAAAAAATGCGTGACAACTACCACAGCCAGATTGCGCGAATCAAAGAGAACTGTTCTCAACAAATGGAGAGACTTCGAGAAAACTACCATGCCCAACTTGGCCGCCTAAAAGGATATAAAAGCAGCAAACTTATAAAAATACGGGAAAATTATGGTGCACAGAAAGCAAAGATTCGAGAATATGGAGTCCAGCAGCTAAAGAAACTCCACGAAAACTACAAGCTCCAGCAACAGCACTTAATCAAAATCTTGGAAACAATGAACTTGGACCATTGTAAAGGAGTCATCGAAGCAGAATGCGTGAGAACGGAATCCATGCTGTTCAACGCAGACCAATTATTGGACCCTAGTAACATCGATACCCCGGATGACCTTAGTGAGCCCCCCTCGGAATACATGACTGCTGTCTCTGCATCCTTCTCAGACAGAGACATATCAGATCTTCAGGAGTATGACACAGAGGACAAGAATAGCACCAGTGATAACAGTGAGAGTGATAGTCAAGAGGACCATCAACAACAAATTCAGGAAGATGACATAGTCATTGAAGTGGACAGCAGTGTTACGCCAGACAACCATGACCACATAATGATGATCGATATGGACAGTGAAGAAGGCATAGACAATTCACAGAAGGAGTCGCCAGTATGATGGATATTTACAATACAATCAGTATTTGTTTTTTTTTTTCATTGTTTAATCAATTCAGATCTAGTCAAACTAGACGAAAACTTAAAATGTCATTAAATTCTTCTAGCATATCAAGTAAGTAAAAGATATTGAAAATGGATGTTCTTCTTTACAGTCATGATATTGATGCCATTTCAGTCATAGTGGTTCATATTATTATCATTAATGCTTCTGACTACTGCAATCAGCTTCACAAATGATCTTATACAAAGTATTAAGAATCCTGCAGCTCATAGGTTGCTAGGAAACAGAGAAGTTGATACTGGTTAATTAGCCAAGGTTTGTAATATCTTGATCATTTGGTTAAAAATATAGTTCAAGGAAAATTTATTTATTCAAACACTAGCTGAAACCATGAATACATGAAATTTTGAGAAATAAAACATTTGTAGACTGTGCTTATTGGGAGCCTACTCTATAATAAATGTGCACCCGCCTCCTTTTGAGTTGTATCAACAAACAGAAAATGAAAATTCATATTTGCACACTTTCTTTTATCATGCCCCTTGTGGGGCTTTTGAACAAAAAGGAGTGAAAATATTGCCAGCAAAGACATGTCAGGATTTCTTTTGTTTAAGTAATGGGGAAACATAAATAGAAAACCGAATCTTCTGAAACGTAAGCATTGGTTGTTCTTGTTTATTTTTTAGTAGCTATTGGTTGTTGATATACTATCTTGTATTGGAGCAACATCTTGTTGTCACATCCCAGTGTAAAATCTTCAAATATTTTTCCAACTCTGAATAGGATTATAATATATTTCAGGAACTGTCCGTGGCAGTAGGTTAGTACTTGACTTAAAATCATTTCTAGTATAATAACCATGCAGGAGCCAGAGTTGTACTATCACATTATAACCACTGTCTTTGTGCATATAATGGGCATTATACAGTAAGCTGGGTCAAAAGACGCCTTCGTGGCATGAAAGTTAAGATTTGCTTTGATGCATTAATATGAAGGAAAATAGACAACATGGATCATTAACTCACTACATTCTTAAATTATTATCTTCACCTTATTTATTAACTATCACACCTTGCCTATGTTACAAATAAATATATATAGAGAGTCTACATATTTATACACACTCATGTGCAATTAATTTATGATCAAGGTGAATGTAATTTTTCTTCATTTCATGGTGCTGTTACTAACATGGCAAACTATTCCTATATTAGATATCAACTGTTGCTGACATTGCTACTTCTTTATTGACAACGATGTGTTACTTATTGTTTAGCACTATAATATTGTATTGTTATTTCTCATGTGCTGCCCATTTCACATTATGCATGTTATAATAAAATCAGTGAAGTTGTAAAGTGTTGAATTTGACTGTATTGTACATTCTCTCCTTACACAGTATCCCAATGTTTTTAAAGTCCTAAACAGTGAAAGAGTAAAAATCAATTTCTAAATGCAGAGCTTGGTCAATATGTCAAAAAATACAACAGGGAAAGAGAGCCCAAACAAAAAATGGACAAATTTCATCAGAAAGTCTGTGGAAAGAGCAACTACCATTAACTCATCAGCAAGTGCTTCAATAACATAATGGCTGATAAGATAACCAATTTATCAAAAATGAAAAAAAAAAAAATGCTAACAAAGATATAAATTGTCCATGAATCACCATGTCTAGGTTAATCAGTAATCAAAAAATGGACTTCGATAATTTTATAAAGATATTCCTTTCACCATTCAATCTACACTTACTCTAGGATATTGCTTACATACACAGTTTTCAGCACCAAATGCAAAAATAATTCAATTTGCATACTAAAATACCTCAACATACTTTTTGCCCAATTCACTGGTGGTAGAGTTAGTTGTCCAATACAAAAACAATGCCATGGCCCTAGCAACGAGTAATTCCATCACATTTTCCATTAACCATCAAAAACATGTACAGAATTACATTAACAAAGTCCTAAAGTTTCTAAATTAAGGTTGTATCATGAATACAAGACCTAGTTAGGACAAATCACAGTGTAGTTATAAAGTTTGACAACAACAACAACAACAACAGGAGAGGCATACAAATGTGTGTGAGCAAATCTCATGTACTTTGATCTGTGTAAGCAAATCTTGCGTACTTTGATCTAATACAACATACTGTACCTAATGTCCCCACATCAATGTCTACTGGACTGTGTTATCTATGTAATTTATCATCACATTGTATTTACTGTATGTTGTTTACTTCAAATAAAATTCCATGGCACTTTATAATGTCAACAGCATGAGGGCCAATCTTTGACATACCCTCCTCCCTCTTGTGCCATATTAAATTCAACAGAACAATAAATTTTTCCTTCTGTGCAGACTATAGAGAGACAATAGGGTGAATGAAAAAGAAATGCTTCCTAAAACATGCAGAGGAGAAAAAAAACTATAAAATGTCCCCTTATAAAAGGCTATAAAAATAATTAATCAAATCTCAAATTAAATGAATACGTCAAATTACGTAAAGAAGCCTAACATTGTTATCTGAGCTGGATAAACAAAGCCTGGCAAGTCAGTTACAACTTGAAAAGCTCAAATTTAATTGTAAACAAATAAAAGATCTTGAGGCATTTCTTTGCTTTTGGTGTTTTACCAAAGTTGACTACCAAATGATAATCAACTTAAATTTTTTATAAAAAAAATCACTTAAATTTTTTGAAAGTATTTTTGCCTTGCATTTGGCTCCAAAAACTATTCACCATGAGCCACTGAGGATGTAATGTAATAAAGTAAAGCATGCTTGGGTAATGTCTGTTGAGTAATACACAAACATTTAGTTTTAAAAATAACATTCTGAGTCAAGTAGCCATAGCAACTGCTGTACCTTCAGCCAAAATCAGCAATCTGATGTTGCAAATAAGGGGTTGTTTCAGAGCAAGTTATCTTGAGATCTAAGCATGTTACATGCCCCTCAAGCTGACTGACTTATGTGTTCAGCATATATTTATCTCAAAAAAACCAAAATTTGCATTCTGTTTTTCTTTTCTCAACATACCCTATTGACTTAGACTTATCTATTTCCAAAGTTAAGGCAAGTAAATGCCAAAACAGTTTGAAACCTAGATGTGATGAAGATCTGTTTGTTGGTCCAACTTTCTCTGCAGACAAGGTGATACTGGGATAATGCATTAAATGTAGAAGCTATTTGGGAAGTTGCATAATCAAAGTTTTAAAAGAAAAAGAAAACCCAGCTGCATTGCACATTACTTCAAATCAAAATGTTCCCCAAGGTAGAAATTAAATAACTTGAAGAGAGGGTTTAAGATGCCCTCTTCCAGGACCACAGATTGATTTTTCACAAGAAATTCACAGATGTGTCTCTGGGACGTTCTTTACACTTTTCTCTAATGTAAGCAAGCTGGCCTGGAGTATAGAGTAGGTGTAAAGATTTGCCACCATTTTTTTCCATACACCTCTTTCCCTTAAAATAAAGATCCCATTCCTTTCTGGTCAATATATTGATTTGGTTCAAGGTGAGCGGAATAAGAAAACAACTCGAAGGTCATGTGAAAAACAGAATTTTGTTCACCTTTACAAACATAAGGCAATCTTTTGTAAATTTAATGGAGTGGAGCTGTAAGTTAGATAAGATAAGGGTATATTTAGCCATTTATATACAAATTAAAAATTCACATACAATGGAAATTGGATTAATTTGCTATTCGGGTAAATTATATGAAGTTTCAAGGTTACAGTATGGCTGCTATAATTTCATTTTTCGTTGTTAAAATGAAACACAGCAAATGTGAAGTTTGCTACAATTTACAAATCTGTAACTGGTCAATAAGCAAGAAAAAGAGAAATCTGTAGAAAAACAAGTACAGACTGTCAGAGAGTAACTAGTCAAATGACAGTCACAGACAGACACAAGAAATAAATTAATAACTAAAACTTTTGCAGTATGATATACTTCAACCACTGCCTCTTAACTGAATTCCTAGAAATGCCATTAAATTTCTGAGATGCCAATGTTCCATTTAATGAAAGGATGTTTACTTATCCATTGAAAACAAAAAATGATAACAGCAGGCAATCACTTTTAATGCCAGGCCACATGTACTTTTTCCACTGGCTTTTTAACTGCTATTCTATATCCAGTTTGCCCTGGCATATTTAAGTTATTGACTTAGGCCAAGGTTATATCAATTAGTTTCCATACAATATTAAAGCATGTTCTTTTTTATGCAAAATGTGCATAATTGCCACCAGCATGGTCCTGAAATACAGCATAACCTATGTACATATCCAGGACGAGTTACTTACATGGAAATGATCTTGCTAACTTTCAGTTTTTCTATTAGCCCTACTGTGTTCCATAAGCATGTCAGACAATGCAATAACAAACCCTCTCCCAACAATTAAAATACATGTTTGTTGCTTATCAAATTTACTTGTTGCATTTATGTGATACTGTGTTCATTTCTGTGCATAGTACATACTCTGCACTTGGTAATTGTTTTTATTTACTCAGATTACAAAGGCATTATAATATGGGTGCCAAATACCACTCTGGTTGTTATACTATGCCTCTGTATGATTAATATGTTACACACTATGCAAGTTTTACACATCATGGACATCTGCTATGTATACACATATATACATTACAGATAAGTTACATGAAGAATCAGTTACACAGCAGAACAACATATACCTAATATTTGATGTTTACAAGCAAACATCCATAAAGGTCAATATGGGACTCCTGGTGGGCAGATTTACAATACAAAGCAGCAGTTCAGGTCACTGACAAGATGATGCTATTTAAATGAGACACAAACAAACAGTATAGGGCACACAAACATCATAATGTAACAATTAGGTGTCAAATATCACATTTTCACCAGAAACAAAAAAAAAAAAAAAAAAAAAAAACAAAAA